CTGCTGTGCTGGGGGGGTAAGGTTTAGGGTTTAAGGTTTAGGGTTTAAGGTTTAGGGTTTAGGTTTAGGGTTTAGGGTTTAAGGTTTAGGGTTTAGGTTTAGGGTTTAGGGTTTAGGGTTTAGGGACGTGCACAGACACGAACATTCAGGGATATGTTTGTATGTATATGTATATACTTACATACATATGTACACAGACACTAAAATCAGTGATCAGTGATATGTGTATATATATATACACATAAATATTTATGTTTATATTTTGGGTGAAGGAGACTTGCTCGCCCCCCTACCTATGAGGGTCCCAGGCACCCAGTACTTGTTACTAACCTGTAATCTTAGTTAGCATTTTTGAAAATTACTGTATGAGTATAGGGGTACATGGAACCCAAAACCCTGAACCGTAGACAGTCATGCGCTGCTTTGTTGAGCTTCTCAACCAGGATAAACGGAGGGGAATGGGAGGACAAGAAAACGAAGGGTTTCACAAGGATCGAAAATCCTCATATACCAAGCAAATACAGCGCTAGCTTACACTAGGGTTTAGGGTTCAGAGTTCAACTAACATTCATAATCATCCACTATCCTAAACCCTAAAACCTAAGCACTTAGATACTATTGCGTAACTTGGACCCCTTAGGGAAAGAGAGAAAGAAACTTGCTAAAGGCATAAGTAGGATTTCAGGGTTTCGGAGTTGAGGGTTCAGGGTTTGAGGTTTGGGGTTTAGGGTTTCCCCGATAGCTGGAACGTCAAGCCATGGCCGCTGCATCGGGGAACTTTGAGGAGAGATGGTCCACCGAGCTCTGCGGAGGGCGTTTGTACCACTTCTCCTGGCTGGGGGATCGTCTGGTTCGGGTGTGGACGCCCCCGGGCTGGAGTAAAGGGAAAGTGCCGAAAGCTTTGTGGCTCAACGATGGTCAAAACTTGTTCCGAGATGAAGAGGCTTTTGGTGGTGCTTCCTGGGGTGCGGCTGGTACAGTTGCACACCTCATTAGCTGCGGGGCCATCCCCGAAATTCTTGTTCTGGGCATCGACCATTCCGGCAGGATGCGGACTTTCGACTATCTGTCAGTGCCGCCGACTGGCTGGGACGCGCCCTGGGGCAAGGGAATGCGCGGTGACATGTGGGACGCACCTGGCGGAGGAGTTGACGCCTACATGGAGATGCTAGTTAGTGAAGTCATCCCATGGGCCCAAAGCCACTAGGTTGCCCGGTAGGACCCTTCTGCCCTTTTTTCTTTTTGGGTCCCCTTTATGAGAACCAAATAGTAGGAAAAAGGGCACCCTTATTTCTAAGAGGCTATTGGGAAACCAAGGCCATTTTGGATTGTCTGAGGCGCCCGAAGATCAGGTCTTCGGGGGGTCTTCCTTTGGAGGTATCTGCGCACTCTACATGGCGAGAAGCTACCCTCGCGCCTGGGCCGGCTTCCTTGTAGAATCCCCGTCTTTCTGGGCGGGCAACGGCCGCTTTATGGAAGATGTAAAAACATGGCAATCGAGCAAGATCTACCCGGATCGTATGTATTTGGCCATGGGTGAGTTCGAGAACTTCGGCCGATGTTCAGCGCCTAGGGTTTGCTACAGGGGTCGGAACACTTACCAATATTCTCCAGTATAGACATAGTCCCTTTCTAGTCCCTATGCAGCTACTACTCCAAAACCCCCTTCTGGCTATTAAGCCCTCCATCTTGGGGTATGTGGGTTGTCCTTCTTGTCAGCGAGGATCTCATACCTTAAAAGGCAGTTAAAGGCATCCGACAGCGGATTTGCATTGAGACGCTGAGGTACACCGGATTTCGTGGAACCGACAGACCAGGCAGCTTGGAATGTGATAGATTCCTGCGAGAGGCCTGTGACTAGGTTCCCCAATGGTAGCCTTTTGCCCTTTGTCTTTTTGGGTCCCCTTTATTAAAGCCAAATGGCAGGAAAAAGGGTACCCTTATTATTAAGGGCCTACTGGGGAACCTAGGTGAGGAATGTGCAGGACATCTTCGCCCTCACATTGGCTCAGGCCTGATTTTGCCAGTCTCCCTAATTTTTCACTTCTTCTTACGTATGGGCTAGCGCTTCTCCAGTACGCACACTCGAAAATGGATGAATTCCTCATGTCCAGAATTTTGTCTTCTGTAGGCTTCTCCGTTTAAGAGGCTAAGATGTCTCACTGCAAGGAACAATGTGACAATATATAGTCCTGCCTTCCCCCTGTGTTAAAGAGAGGTTCCTACTCAGAAACTATCGCCATGCTCAGTGCTACATAGATGCATGGACCCTTAGAGTCACCCAAAACCCTGAACGCCACAACCCTACTAAACCTTGAAGCCCTAAAGCCGTAGTCAGGGTCCAAGTTCCGAATAGTCATACAACCCTAAACCCTGAACCCTAAACCCTAAACCGTATGACCCTAGATAACTACTATCCGTAACCAAAGTACCAAAGAACCTGAGTATTGGACCCTTAGGGTTAGAGTCACCCATTCCCTGGGTTCTTGTTAAGGGATTTGATTCTAAGTTCCCATAATAAGGAAACCATGTTAGCTACCATAGATCCCTATTCTGGTAACTTAAATTATATACATCCCCTAACCCCGAAAACCCTAAACCCTAAACCCTAAAACCCTGAAGCCCTAAATCCTAAACCCTAAACCGAAGCCAGTACTGTAAGAACCCAGTCTCATCAGGCCTGCTTTCTTTCCTGGAGCCCGGCGGTCGGCATAACGAGCGCGACTGGGGGCGGCGCTTTCCCTGTGCACTGCGGTGGCTCTTCGGGCTCCCGAGCTCATCTCCCCAGCAAATCTGGACAAGGCTCCAGGGTTTTAGAGTGTAGGCTTCAGGGGTTCCTTAAAGGGTTCCTTAAGCCTCCAGGGTTTTAGAATGTTTTAGGGTTTAGAGTTTAGTGCTTCAGAGTTTTATGGTTTGGAGTTTTATAGTTAGGGTTTTAGAGTTTAGGGTTTAGGGGTTTGAAAATTTAGGGTTGAGGGGTTTTGAGTTTCGGGTTTTGGGTTTCGGATTTTTAGCGTTTAGGGTTTCGGAGTTTAGGGCTTGGAACTTTAGAGTTTAAGGTTTAGGGCTACGGATCTCTGCACAACAGCAGCTGACATCTTTGATGCGGACAGCCAGAAGGGACTAGTGTACAAAAGGCTGGCAAAACTGCACTTACCGGACATGTTGTGTGTGTAGGAACTGTTACATGTGTGTGTGTGTATATATATATATGCCATATCGTGTATGCACAAATATACACATATGTATGTATGGTTGTATGAACGTAATACAAACCTACACATGCATGCAGACCCATGTAGGCACATATAGAACACATGCATTCAGCACTTTCGCTGAGCTCTGATTTCGGTTATGGAGAGGTCAGATGCACAGAAGCTCTAAACCTTAAAGCCGTTGGCCGAAAGCCGTGCAGCATGAAGCTGAAGACCCCAAAGCATAAACCCTAAACCCACAACCCTAAACCCTAAATACAAACCCTAAGCCCTAAAGCCCTAAAGCCCAAAGCCCACGACGCTGCAAAGCGAACCCTGGAAGCGCCAACCATAAGCCCTAGAGGCCCTTTCCCTACACCGAGACGAAACCCCTAAAGAGTTTCGGGTTTAGGGGCTTTAGGATTTAGGGTTTAGGGGAAATTCCAAGGCCTCAATGCCTTAAACCTATTCAAATCCTAAAACCCCTAATACCGGATAATTACCAGGCAATACCCCTTATAGTAAGCCCTTTGGAACCTTTTGAAGAAAAACCCTAAACTCTATACCGTACCTGCAGCCGAAAAGACCTACCTTTTTCGGGATCCTTGTATGATGGTTTCTATATAGACTGCCTCAGAAAGGTAGGCTTTTCCGGCTAGAGGTAAGCCCTAAACCCCCCAAGCCGAAAACCCTAAACCCTAAACCGAAAGCCCTAAACCCGAAACCCTAAACCCGAAGCCCTCAACCCTGAACCGAAAAGCCTCCTTTCAAGGCCCTCACCTCTGAGACCTGGGCCCTTTGAGCTCTTCGTGCGGAGAGGAGCCGTGAAGCTTCCGGAGGGCAAGCGCTTCCAGGCGAGGAGTGTCGAAATTAGTGTTTAGGGGTGTAGGGTTTAGAGTTTCGAAATTTATGGGTTTTGCGAGTTTGTGGTTTTGAGCTTGGATTTAGGATTGAACCCCCTACTCACGAAGAATGCAATCAAGTCTCATCTTCGGGGTACTTAGAGATAACTCTTAATCTTTGGTTATTGTAACCCTCCTAAGAACGCAGCAAAATTAGATGGTTTGGTGGAGTGCCCAGTTCAGCATAGTTATTGAGGTTTCAGTTTCACTGTCTGGGGCCCAATGAAAGGCTTCGGTGTTTATTCCTGAACCCTTAAACCCTAAACTCCTAAACCCTAAACCCTAACCCCGTAAATCCCTAAACCCTAACCCCGTAAATCCTTAAACCCTAACCCTAAACCCTTAAGCCCTAACCCTAAACCCTTAAGCGGTAAACCTTTAAACCCTAAATCCTAACCCCGTGAATTTTTAAACCCTAATCCTAAACCCTAACCCTAAAACCCCAAACCCCTAAGCTCTAAACCCTAACCCTTAAACCCTAAACCCGAGACCAGACCATGCCAGGTACACCTTGGTTTCAATGACTGGTCTTGTGGCGTGCAAACCTGCGACCTGCTCCCGTCTGGTCTCGATCTTGCGGAAGGAGACGAGCCAGCTACTTGTGGGGTTTAGGGTATAGGGTTTAGGGTTTAGGGTTGGATCAACTTTGCATCTTTTTTCGGAGAGTAAGGGTTTAGGGTTTAGGATTATATTAGAAGAGTAAGGAGCCCTTAAACTATCTCGGGCTGCTTGAATCACCCCTATCTTGAGGACCGAGGTCAAAGCTAACTGAGACTACCAGTTTGAAGCCCGTGCGGAATCGGGTTTAGGGCTTTGAGCCGGGAGCTTGTTGTGCTTTCCTTTGCGCTTTAGGATTGGTTTTGGTCTTGAAAACTCCTCTTTCAAGATTCTAAATTCCTGAACCCGAAACTCTGAAAGCCGAAGCCCTATACTTAAAACCCTAAACCCCTTTTCAAACTCAACCCCTACACCTCTCAGCCCCTAGCACAGGGCTGTACAGCCCGTTACAGGTCCCTTTAAAGAAGAAGAGCCCCCCATTTCGGAGCCTCACAACCTAAAATCCCCTAAACCCTAAGCCATAAAATCCCTTAATACCGCTTGAGGTTCTGGCTGCTCTCGGATCCGTCCCAGACGGTGCGTCGGGCATGAAGCTTCTGGGTTTAGGGTTTACACATAGGCTCCACGGTAGTTCCTTTTTGTGGTTCATAGTTTAGGATCCTATAAGGTAATCCCAAAAAGGAACTACCATGGAGCCTATAGGTAAGTTAGGGAATTGATTTTAAGAGTTTAGGGTTTAGGGTTCTTGAGGAATTTATTGTGAGCGTTTAGGGTTTAAAGTCTAGGAAATATAATTTTCCACCACAAGTAGTTCATTCAAATCCCCTGACAAGAACCCAGGCTTGTCTTTACGAATGGCGACGCCTGGGACAACAACTCTGGCAAGGACTGAGATGTGACATAAGCTTGCGGTTTATACACACATACATCCATACATAAATACATACTCACAAGTGTGCATATAAATATATACATATACATATAGGCATACATATACATGCATGTCAATCCATAGGCGTGCGTGTGTGTGTGTGTGAGTCGCAGAAGTTATCGGAGCTTACCTTCGCTGGCTTCGTGGTTTTGATAGAGTTTCATTTCACCCTAGGGGTCCGAGTACCTGCAGCGCTGGCAAGGACTACTGCTTGGACGAGTCTGGCAAGGCAGTGCCATGACTGAGCAGCCTAAACCCTAAACCCTAAACCCTAAAACCCTAAACCCCCCTAAACCAAAAACCCTAAACCTATTCACAAGTCGCTTTTTTTCCAAGCTGCCGGCCGCTGCAGCTGCGCTCTGGTGGTTCACAAACGGTTCAAAGACTGGCTTCTGCCAGCCTGCATTTTGCCAAAAGTTGTTTAGGGTTTAGGGTTCGGGTTTAGGGTTTAGGACCTGCCTTCATCCAGTTTTACCACCGCTGGCAAAAAGGATGCTCGAGTGCTGCACATAGGCGTGAGAGAAAGAGTTTATGGTCATGGTCACTTGTTGTGGCATCCGTAGTTGTTTCGCTTGACTGCGCTGTTCTGTGACATGACACAGGAGACAATGGACGACATTGAGAGCAAGAAGAACGAAACCATGGAGGAGTTGGGACAACTCACCAATGCAAGTCGCAGTTCTAATTGCTCTAAACAAAGGGGCCTAGATAGATACCAATACAATTTTGGGTGTTCCTGATTAAAATTGTACTACTATAAAGGAACCCAAAACCATACTCGAATTATTAAGGCCCCTAGAGTAGTTGTTCCCAAGGCCCTGGACCCCCGTAAACCCGAAACTCCAAAATCACTGAGCCCCTGAACTGCCCCCTGAAATTCATGGTTTAGGGTTTCGGGGTTTTGGGCTTTAGGGTTTAGGGTTTCTGAAACTCATGCCGTTTCTGGAAAGCACCGGTTTCGCCTTCTGTAAGGGGGCCCCAGGGTTTTCGGCTTGTAGGAGGGTAGCCTTGTTTGGAATGCTGCCCAGAGCAGAGAGGGCCCATAGGGTTCAGGTTCATAGGTTCAGAGTCTAGGGTCTAGGGTTTTATGATTCAGGATGGTTTACAGCTTTCCGATTCAGGGATTTATGGCTGGGGACGCACTGGAGCCAGAGAGGCTCAAACATTACGCGCAAAGACTCAGAATAATGATTGTACGGGCCGGAGTAATTAGTCATATCATGTCTGGTGGCTTCCTTGATGAGCTTATAGCTTTAAAGAGATCAAGGCCTGCAAAACGACTTGTCTAAGACTGCAGGCCTTTGTAACCCTAAGTTTCTTACACCTCCCAACCCTGCGCGGTTGTAACTTGTAAGCCACAAGCCGGGTGCCGCGTTCATTAAGAGTCGAGTGATATGGGGTTCGCAAACGGGCCCACGGTTTTGACAGCTTGAAAAAGGCAAACTAGGCGCTATTGATCCTCAAATCTGCAAGCTCTCAGAACCCGAAGCCAAAGTACGAAACCCTAATATAAGGGGCCTGAGTAGCTGCCAATGTCATTCCTTAGGTCAACTACTTAAAACATACTGCTAGTATCACCCTCCAAAACCCTGCTGAAACTATTCAGTAAAGGAACCTCTAAACCCGCAAAAGGATCCCTTAAAGGAACCTCTTGAACCCCCAAAAAGATCCCTCAAAGGAGCCGCTAAACCCACAAAAAAGATCACTCAAAGGAACCTCTAAACCGCCAAAAAAGATCCCTTAAAGGAGCCCCTAAACCCCCTAAAAAGATCCCTTAAAAAGGAACCTCTAAACCACCAAAAAAAGATCCCTTAAAAAGGAACCCCTAAACCCCCCAAAAAAGATCCCTTAAAAAGGAACCTCTAAACCCCCCAAAAAAGATCCCTTAGAAGGGAACCTCTAAACCCCCCAAAAAAGATCCCTTAAAAAGGAACCTCTCAACCCCTAAAAAAAGATCCCTTAGAAGGGAACCTCTAAACCCCCCAAAAAAGATCCCTTAAAAAGGAACCTCTCAACCCCTAAAAAAAGATCCCTTAAAAGGGAACCCCCTGCCTCTTGTGAGTGCCTCTGCGGCGCCTTTTGGAGGAGATCCGGCAGAAAGCCCGCGAGATCGGCCCCTCGAAGATGCGGATTTTTTGGGGCTCTTTTCTAGGGGGTTCCTTGTAAGGGATCCTTTTAAGGGATCCATTAAGGGTGCATCTAAGAGTTTCTTTAAAGGGGTTTTTAGGGGTTCAGGGTG